CCAGGGTGGTTTCACCCACAGGAAGCTGTTCCTGCTCTGATCTGCAGCTGGACATCCAAGGTGCCCCAAGACCATTGATTTTGGCGTTGAACAGCACCTCTCTTTGCTCAACTGGCTGTACGAGTGTAGTTTTCTGTGTATAATGATGGGGAAAGGGGAGCACGGTATGGTATGTGACTGTCTCACCTGCCTGGATACAGCCCAGATGGGGCCAGCCCAGGGCATGGCACAGACATGAGGCTACCTGGCTCTGGCCAGAGGTCAGAGGTGGACACCCTCACCTCCTTAGGGATGCCCAGGGTTTGAGTCCTGCTAGGGGAACAGTTGCTATGGGTCCCAGGCAGCCCTGAGGATGCTTATGGAAGCTTGACAGCATCATACTGTGACTGGGGGGCTATCATGTTCACCCCAACTTCCACTAGGGCATCTCCCTGTCCACCATCACTCAGCCCCTTCCTCTTCACCTTGTACACAGAATGTCCCCAATGCAAACTAAGTTCAGAAAAAATATCCCGGGGAGGGGGAGGTGTACTTACAGTGGAAAAGCATATAAAGGGTTACAGTCTCTATTCTGTTACTCGTCAACACTTGTGGGAAAAGAATAAGATCTGGCCAGAAAAAAATGAAAGGACAAAGGCTAGAGATGCACTATCCAATACAATAACTACAAAAACATGGGGAATGTTCAAGGTCATTAACATTCACAAGGCAAATAAAAAATATTTAGGAAAATTCACTTTATAGATACCTATTAAAATGAAGAAACAGGCCCTCCCTGGTGGCGCAGCGGGTTAAAGCACAGCATTGAGAGGCTGGAGCCACTTCTGCATGAGTTCAATCCCCGCCTGCCCCGGATGTGACCGCATGGCGCGGCAGACCTCTCCTGACCCGCCTGCTGCTCCCCTCAGCTGTGTACTTCGTCGATCTGCCTGTTCTGCTCCCCACTCTGTCTCTGGTGAAGCCTCTCGCTGCCCCTGAGCCTCTGGCCTGTACCCCCAGTTCTGTATGCACAAATAAATAAATCTTAAAAAAAGAAAGAAGAAGAAGAAGAAGAAACATTCGCTATAATATGGCCAAAGTTGCAGGGTTGTCTACAGTGATACATCACTGTTTATACACATAAATTAGAGAAAAAAGATTTTGGAAAGAACGTGATACATATGAAGAATCATAACTATTCAAGTTTTCTTTTATATGAAACTTCTGGAAACTTATCCCAAGGAAATAATCCAGAAGGGGAAAAACGGACATAGGCATAAGGTTACTATACATTATGGAAAATACATGAAAATCAGAAATAGTGAAAAATATCACTCGGGAATGACTGAGTAAATTATGTACCAGGTCCTTTAACAAAATATTAGGAAGTGATCGGCATTGTTAGGATTTTATGAGCCATGTGGTAAAACAGCCATGTATTAAGTTAGAGGGGGAAAAAAAAATCAAGTTCAAGTGCAACTGCTTCAGAATTGTCATTATATAAAACTGTTCCCGGCTCTCAGGAAAGAGCCAAGAAAGAAAAATCTTTTCATTTGTTGGGAAAAATGTGTGGCTGTGTCTTTTTCTTATTTGTTCGGTGTTATCACAGCACTATATTAAACAATAACAAGAATACTAATAAAGTTGAACTTGAACAGCTGGGTCTGACCAGCCAGGGTCCACCCGCGGCACTGTGTAGATGCCGCAGCACTAAAATTGCCGAGCCCATTCTGAAAGCCCCAGGGGGAGCCGGCCAGCCTGCCCCTCTGCAGTTGTCCACCCCAGGCTCCAGGTTCTAGAAGGGGAAACAGCCTTTGCCCCGTTCAGTGCCTGTGACCCAGCTGCCTGGTATCCAGGATCTGAGAAAAGTGCTCACACCCGTGGCCGTGGCTTGCAAGTGCGTGGCGAATGCCTTGCACAGTATTATAAGTTGGAACATTCCGCAGCTATAAAAAATCCAGATTTCCAGCTGCTCATGAAAAGCTGGCAGCCGTGACCGCACAGAACCCACATTCCTGGCTAGCAGCCATCCATCACCAGGCCCTGGCATGGATGCCACACTCAGGAGGCCACTCCAGTTCATCCCCGCATCTCAAGATCCACACAGGCGCCATCTCTGTGCCAGGTTCTGCTCAGTGGCAGGGGATGAGACGGGCACAGCCCTGTAGAGCCCAGTTTCTCCTGGGCAGAGAGACACCCATGCGTGGAGCACCAGTTCCCATGACGAGGACAATTAAACGGGATGACAGGCTGGGGAGGGGCTGCAGGTCCTGTGCTGGCGGGGTGCCCAAGGGAACCCTCTGAGGCGACAGTGAGTTGACTCCAAAATGACAAGATGGAGTCAGTCACACAAAAATGTGGGGTGAGGACATTCCAGTTCAAAGGAAGAGCTTGTGCAAAGGCCCTGGGGTATGAGTGAGTGAGGAGTGCTCAGAGTAGGGAGGGATCAGATCACCCAAGGTCTATCCAGAAAAGGAACCAGATGGCAGTGAAGCACCTGCAGGATGGTCCCAAGGCTGGGACCAGATTTGCCTTCTAGGGGGATGTCTCTGGCCACCCTGGGGTGAGAGACACTCCTGCAGAGTCCAAGCAATGGTCCTTAGGCTTGAGGCAGAAGCAGAAACAAGGGTGTGGGGAGAGCAGACCACCTGGACACACAGCTAGTATCATGTGAGCGGCAGGGCGGGGTGCCAGGAGCTCGATGTGACTCTCTGGGGCACGAGCAGAGGCTGGCACCTTTGACAGACAAGGGGGATGCACACCCAGAAGGATGGGGGCCCCTCCCCAGGTCTGATTAAGAACACTCATCCATGGGTGGGGAGAGTGTGATTTGGTTGGTGCAAACTCTATGGAAAAGGGTATGGACATTCCGCAAAAAGTCAAATGGAAATTCCCATACAACCCAGTGATAGATACCCAGGTAGGAAGGTACCCAAAGACTATGAAGTCACCCACATAAAGGGGTATTTCCTCCTGTGTTCATGACAGCACTGACTACCACAGCCACGTCATGGAACCCGCCCAGACGCCCACCAAAAGGTGACCGGTGAGGAAACTGTGGGCTCTGTACTCGATGCTGCTCAGCTATCAAGAAAGAGAAAACAGCACTTTGAGGGACAAAATGGAGGTATCAAGCGATGAGGCCAAGGGAAGTTAAGGCAGAAAGTGAAAGCAGTTTCTGGCTGGTTCCACTGATTTGTCAAATACAAATAACCAAAGAAAACAAACAGCAGAATAATTCTTAGACTCATGATAAGCAGGGTGTTTTCCAGGAGGGTGGGGGGAGGGAGGAGGCGGCAGTGAGCTTGGATGGCGCTTGTGGAGGGGTGACAGCGTGCTCCCCAAATCATGTAAACCAGTGATTTGGTCCACAGTGTCAACAATGTTGTAAACGAACAGCAAAGCAATGAAAAGTTGGGGTGGAGGGAGGGGCATCTGGACCCCACTCCAGCCTCCTCGGGGTCTGCCAGGGCCCCTCCCCTCCCCCAGCCAGGGGTTTCCCTGGCGCACCCGCTGCTTGAACTGCTTTTTGTTCTCCCACCTGAGATTGCCTGCGTGGTCCGGTCACGATCTGCTCTTTTCCTTTTTTAGGTTCAGGCTATTACATGTGCATGAATTTCTTTTGAGAACTAATAAACTAATGTGCACTTTTACAGGTGGTCCATGAGCCAGCTACAGCAATTTCATATACTAAGAAGTGCACTTCAGATTCCGGTGAGCAAAATACAAGCACCATGGCTGTTCCCCTGCACCATCTGTCCCCTCCTGGAATAAGAAGGTGGACATAGGGCCGTGTCTCCACCCTGCCTGGGTGCATGATGCTTAATCTCACGTGCCCAGCTGTTCAGCCAAACACCAGCCTAGGTGACTCCAGCCTAGGTGCTGCTGTGCGTGTCTTTAAGCTGCGACTGGCATCCAAGCCAATGGTCTCTGAGTCAAGCAGCAGCCTGGTGTGGGTGGGCCTCGACCAATCAGTTGAAGGTCTTAAGACAAAGACAACTTTCCTGAACAGGAATTTTCCTTCAGGTTGCGACACAGAAATTCTGCCTGCAGGTCTGTGAAATCCAGATTCCAGACCGAACACTAACTCCTCCTTCAGCTTGCAGATGACCGATTACAAGCACATGAACCAACTCCACAAAATCCGCCTTTCGCCCTCTCTTTACACACACATCCAGATGCGGTACAACACTTTGTTGGGGCGCTGGGGTGGGGGTTGGGGGCCGGTGAGCTACAGCAACACGCAATCGTGCACAGTGCGTCCACATTTTCTGATTATCGCTTTGCCATTTTGCACCCGGTCACGTCTGTGAAACGTCTGCAGGTGTCTGAGGGCCGGATCACGAGAGCAGGCTTTGAGAGCGACGCGTCTGCGTAACCACACAGTATTCTGGGCACGTTTCAGTTCTCAGGGGTGGCAGTGACACTTGCGGCTTCTCTGTCTTTCAGCTCACCGTGGCTTTATGGGCACAGCACCCCATAAAGAGGAGGAAGGGCTCGTGCCGTTCTGTCTCTCTGAAGCACCCTGCCCTGTAGCAGGAGCGTCTGTTCAGCGGGCTAGCAGGTCTGGGCTTGGCCACCATCTCTGAGTCACCGCCGCCAACAGGCAGCGCTCCTGAACTCCCATCAACCTGTCCCTACCTGGACCCTTCCCAGGGGTCCGCTGGCCCACTCCCTACCTGCATAAATCTACAGCTGCAGCAGCTCAGCCTCCTTGCTCCCTTCCTGGGGAGCCTGGCTCCCTGGCTTTACCGACACGTGCCCTAGGGCATTTCCACACAACTATGTTCATTTCCCTTTTGTTCACTGCTGGAAGGGCAGCTCCGTGCAGACTCCGATGACTCCCTCCCACCTGCAACACAGCCCTGCATACAGTAGGCGCTCACTAGTGACTCTGTGTGGATGACTGAAGAACAGAGGGCTGGGGTCTCCCCGCAATCCAGGTGTGGCCCCCTGCCCTGGGGAGTGGGGCCCTCAGGCACCCAGACCGCACCCTTTCACAGCCACCAAAAAACACATACCGAAGGGGGTGAGCCACTGCGTCTCCGAGGCACAGATCTCCCGCTCCTCCGTCCTCCTGCCGAAGGTCGCTGAGTAGATGTTGAGAAACTTGGACTCGTGACAGTGCAGCTTCAGCTCCTGGTCTTCACACACAGTTTTGTTTTTTAATTCATCTGAAGCAGAAAGGAAATCGGTGGCATCATCAGCTTCCCTAGGAAAACTCTAGGGGGGCACTGTTCCCTAGCCCCAACATTCATCCCCTGGGGCTGCACCTTGAGAAGGGGACACTTAGGAAGACAAAGCTTTCTGCAGGGAGTGGATGGGGTGCCACTCATTGGGGTTGCAACCCAAGTGGGTGAGGGATCCCTGGATGGGTCTGGCCCTTAAAGAAACTTCTGTCTCTTCCCTTGAGGTCACACATTCCTTTTCTCAAACACTGACTTGGGGTGCACACAGGTCCAGGCTAGGAACAGTAGACTAAGCCTCTGGGGTAGCGCTGTTAAACTTCATCCCCAATTTCAACACCTTCCAGCACCCCGATTATGTATTCAAAGAGACAGTGAGAGACGCTAAGAAGCAAATTGTGTCCTTTGCTGGGAAAGAGACAAGAAAGGAAGAGAGAAGACACTGTTCTTGTAGAGCCCCCCTTTAGAGAAGTGTGTAGCCCCGAGTCGGAACTCCGGGAGGAAGGGGCGCTGGGAATGAGCAAGTTCCATGTTCGGATGATCTGAACCGGGTCACCGAGAACTAGGGAGATGTTTGTCTGTTCAATCCACTTGCCCTGGTCAAACTCTCCTTTCATTGACGCAACAGAGTTGACCTTGTTACTCAGAAGGCAGAAGGCAGAAGGCTTGCAAGGCGAATGTGAGCTGTCAGGACACACCCACCAAGCTCTTTAGGGCTGTTTAGGGAAGGGCCAGGCGTGCATTCTGGCTTAAACACGCACTGGGAAGACCTGGGAAGACCAGCCACCGACTAGCCATTTGCACAATAAAACCCCGCCCGCGGGAGTGCTCAGCCATCATGTTCTGAAGGGGAGCCCATGAGAGGCGTGGCTGGGTCAGAAGCCACAATGCACCAGCCCAATTGAGTGCGATCTCACTCAGTTG